GAAGCATTATGGTCATATGCAATATATACATAAATACAGTGGTACCTCGGGTTACAGACGCTTTCAGGTTACAGACTCCGCTAACCCAGAAATAGTACTCGGGTTAAGAACTTTGCTTCAGGATGAGAACAGAAATTGCGGGCGGCGGCAGGGAGGCCCCATTAGCTAAAGTGGTGCTTCAGGTTAAGAACAGTTTCAGTTAAGAACAGACCCAAGAACGAATTAAGTTTTTAACCCGAGGTACCACTGTACAGCTTTAAAATACAGTATCAGTATTACACACACACACACACACACACACACACACACTAATACAAATAAGTTTTAGATTTCATTCCAATTAATATTTACAGTCCACCATGTTTTCCTCAATGAACTTTCTCAGTCTGGGGGCAGCAACTGCAGATCTCACAACTTTGTCACAGATTTCTCAACCAGACAACAAATATGTGACTTTCAGTAATAATCACAATTATTTATTATTTATACCCCACCCATCTGTGTGGGGTTTCCCCAGCCACTCAGGGCGGCTTCAACAAAATATTAAAATACAATAGTCCGTCAAACATTAAAAGCTTCCCTAAACAGGGCTGCCTTCAGATGTCTTCTATAAGTCTGGTAGTTGTTTTTTCTTTGACATCTGGTGGGAGGGAATTCCCACAGGACAGGTGCCCACTACCGAGAAGGCCCTCTACCTGGTTCCCTGTAATTTGGCTTCTTGCAGCAAGGGAACCTGCCAAAGGTCCTCAACGCTGGACCTCAGTGTCCAGGCAGAAACGATGGGAGTGGAGACGCTCCTTCAGGTATACTGGGCTGAGGCCATTTAGGGCTTTAAAGGTCAGCACCAATACGTTGAATTGTGCTCCGAAACGTGCTGGGAGCCAATGTAGGTCTTTCAAGACTGGGTTATGTGGTCTTGGCAGCCACTCCCAGTAACCGGTCTAGCTGCCGCATTCTGGATTAGCACCTCTGATGAGAGACAGTCCGCAGTCAAGTAAGGTCTCAGCCTGTGTACCAGATTGAAGTTGGTAAACAGCTGCCCTGGACACAAGTGTCATAGCTCCTCTGCTGCAAAAAACTGCAAAATCACTACAGGAGATCATATGGCCCGTACTGGGCCCCGATGGAGCAGGTGGTTCCGCTAAATTGCGCACCACCTGAAAGTGTCTCCTGCTGCTGTTTTCTGCAGATGCAATAAAGGCGGTGGTCTTCTTCACCGTCACTATCGCCACTTGGTAGGCTCCACATTGAGCTCTAACCCATGTGCAGTCAGATGCAGAATGAGTCATCCACCACCGGCACTCTAGCCATCTCAGTGATTGTTTCATTGCCCTTAGACCGGTGGAAAACCACGGAGCTGCCCAGGCTCCATGCAATCAGAGAGGGCGCTTCAGAGCCAAACAGTCAATAGCCCTGGTTAATTCCACATTACAGTGGGCCACCAGGGAATCAGCTGAAAGGCCATCAACATGGGATAAAGCATCCCCTACCACTCTCTGGAAACCATTTAGATCCATTAAGTGGCGGGGGCGGACCATCCAAATCGGTCCCACCCCCCTGCAGAGGGGAAGGGTCACAGAGAAGTCCAGTTGCACTAGGAAGTGGTCTGACCATAGCACTTCTTTCGCTTCGCTTTTATTACTGTCAGATCACCAACATCCATAGAGGTCAAAGGCTATGAGCTGGGCCAGGCTAATTCAGGGGCGGTCCTATGGAGGCCATAGTTTCCACAAAGTCCAAAGAGGTCCCTTGCAAGGTCGTGTTGGCGTGAATGTTAAAATCCCCTAGGACAACCAAACTAGGTGTCTCCAAGAGAACATCACCACAAACTGAAGCAGCTTGGGCAGGGAATCCTTGGTGCAGCGGGGAGGTCAGGACACCAAAAGGAATCCTGTACTGCCCCTATTGCCCAGCTTCTAGAACATGCACTCAGAGAACTGGGTCTTCCCAATAGGACGCCTGGTGCAGACTAATGACTTCCTAAAAATCACTGCAACCCCCTCCCTCCCCGCCCACATGACCTGGGTTGCTGTGCGTAAGAGAAGCCAGGTGGACAAGCAGCGGCAAGGACAGGCCCATATGCTTCATCCAACCATGTCTCTGTCACACATGCTAGGTCCAGTCCTCCATCCACGATCAAGTCATGGATGGCAGTGGTCTTACGAATCATTGATCTGGCATTGCACAGCAGAACCTTCAGGTTATGTGGGTATCCATTGCTGATTCCAGTATCCGTCCGGTCAAGACCAGACCCGGAGGCAGGGATAGTCCTCAAACAACGACTATACCTGCCTCCTCGGTAATGACATGGTCTGGTCTTAGCGTCTCTCCTCCTCCTACCCGTGATCACTGAGATCGGTTGTCCCAGTGCATCCCTCCCTGTGGAACTTGCCTCAGCCATTTTGTTTTCTGGGACCCACTCCCAGGCAGCCCTGACGTCCTCCCCTTCAGAACAAAATAAAACCTATTTTTTAAAAAGCAATAAAACAATAAAAACCAAAAACAGTAAAAGTTACAAACATACCAAAATTAGACCAATTTCCAAACACGACTAAACGTCCATCCCCCACACCAGAGATAATTTTAAAGGTAAAAAAGAAAATTTTAAAGTATTTTTAAAAGAACTCTGTGCTGTTCTGAGTTCTCCTGGGCAGCGACAGCAGCCGCCTCAGCTGTCCTTATGAGGCCTGCCAGGCCCTGCCCTGGCCAGGTGGTGAGTGGCAGGAACGGGACCCCCAGGCAGGGGAGCCCTCCTGGGCAGTTGATTACACGCATCGGGTATCTTACATAACCAAACAAGGATAAACTTGGTTCAGAATAGATAATATTGGTAGCGATCTACTACAAAGAAGCTCTTCTGCAATAATTTTTTATAGCGTCCCTCTAAATATTCTGAGCACATAGTCTGAAAACAAAAGTCAGAAATGCTTGCCTAAATGAACAGATTGGTAAATCAGAGGGGAAATACTCAAGTTCATGTCTTATTTTAATGAAATACCAATGTGGGGCAGTGTTCAAAATTAGCCAGGCGCAGGGGCCCTGACTTATAAAAAATATTGGGGGGGCCCATACCGGGGTCCTGCCGCTGGTTCGCTCGGGTAGCCGGGAGAACGCAGTTCGAGGTGGCGGTGTTGGGGAGAGACCCTCGCTCAGGGCGCCACGAGACTTGGCGGCCGGTGGCCTATCTGGGGGGTTTTGGAGCGTATTTCGGCGGAGCGATTGGGGAGGAGGGGGCTTGTTGCCGGATTCTTCAGCTGGGCCGGAGATCCGCTGCTGGGGGGTCCCTGGGCCGAGTTGTGAGCACAGCCTGCTGAAGAGAGATCCAGCCGATTGCGCGACGGGGACGGCCGGGGCTCTCCGGCTAGGGCGCGCGGCTGGCTAGCGAGGGAGCAGGTGGGGAGCAGGCGGGGGTCCTGATACAGTTGGGGACGGAGGCAGACGGGGCCGAGGGGCGAAGAGGGCAGGCGGGGCATGGTGCGCTTGCTCAGGAGCTCAGCTAACCTGTCCCAAGAGACATAGCCTAAGTACTCCTTCCTTCCTGTTTTTTTTCCTCCCTCTTTCCACTGCTCCCCTCTCTCTTTCTTTCCTTCCTTCTTCCTTCCTTTCCTTCCTTCCTTCGTCTCATTCCTTCTTATTTCATTCATTTTCTTCCTTTCCTCCAACCCTTCGATGCTCCTTCCTTCCTCCCTTCCTATTTCATTCCTTTCTTTCCTTTCCTGCAACCCTTCCCTGCTTTTTCTTTCCTTCCTTCCTTCCTTCGTCTAATTGCTTCTTATTTCATTCATTTTCTTTCCTTCCTTCCTTCCTTCCGTCTCATTGCTTCTTATTTCCTTCCTTTCCCCCTCTCTTTCCTTCCTTCCTTCCTTCCTTTTCCACCCCCTCCCTCAATCTCACCCTCCCTCCCTTCCTTTTTCCTTCCTTTCTTCCTTCCTTTGCTCCAACCCTTTCCTTCCTTCCTTCCATTCATCTCATTGCTTCCTGTTTCATTAATTCCTTTCATTTCCTCCAACCCTTCCCTGCTCTTTCTTTCTTTCCCTTCTTCCTTCCCTCTCTCTTTCCCTCCCTCCTTCCTTTTCCACCCCCTCCCTCAATCTCACCCCTCTCTCTCTTCCTTCCTTCCTTCCTTCCTTTCCTCCAACCCTTTCCATCCTTCCTTCTTCTCGTTGCTTCCTGTTTCATTCATTTCTTTCCTTTCCTCCAACCCTTCCTTCCTTCCTTCCCCCACCCCTCCTCCCTCCCCCTCTCTCAATCTCACCCCTATCCCTCCCTCCTTCCTTCTCGCCTTCCCCACAGATTCACACTCTCCCCCCTCACCGCCCGCCCTACAGCCCAGCTGAAACTCTCGCTCACCCTCCAGCCGCAATTGATTTTATATCGCTATTCTCCCTTACTCCCCGCTGCTGCTGCCGCCTCTCCCCTCACCCCCCACTTCCCCCCCGCCCACCTCCCAGCACTCGCCTTTCCCTGTGGTGTGTGTGTGAGAGAGAGAAAGGGGGAGAGGGAGAGAGAAAGAAAGGGGGGCACACACCATTGTCGATGCCTTCTATACACAGAGAGGCAGAAATCACATTCATAATAGGAACCAGAGAAGCCACACTGAGGCTGGCAGGTGGGCGCTCGTTAGGAGCACGCTGGGCAGGTTGTGTGTGTGTGTGTGTGTTTGGGGGTGGTGTCGGTGGGGGGGGCGGACAGACCGTAGCTGGGCGCCGTGACGTCAAGGCGAGGGAGGCTGAGCCGAGGAGCAGAGCCGCGCGATCGGTGGCGGCGCTCTGCTGGAGGGGCGCCCGAGATTATTGGGGGGCAGAGCCCCCCCAAACAAATTTTTGAGGGGGCTCGGGCCCCCTCAGGCCCCATGGAGTTGGCGCCTATGGCCAGGCGCCAGACACATTTTGCACCTGGCTATTGGCAACTTATCATTAGACAGCTGTTGCAACTGAAGCTCTTTCCACACCCCAAAAATGTATGTGGTTTGTCCCCTGTACGAGTTATTTCATGCACAGTAAAGAAACTATAACTGAAGCTCTTTCCACACATCAACTTTCATAGGATTAGTCCCCTGAATGAGTTCTCTGCTGTCGAGAAAGGTGGTTACTGCGGCGGTAGCTCTTTCCACACTCCAAACATTTGTATGGTTTGTCCCGTGTGAATTCTCTTATGTGCACGAAGGATGTTAGCTTTTTCTACATTTCAAACATTTATATGGTTTCTCCCCTGTATGAGTTTGTTGATGCGCATTAAGGGAGGCAGTCTGACTGAAGCTCTTTCCACACTCCAGGCATTTATATGGTTTTTCCCGTGTGAGTTCTTTGATGTTGAGTAAGGTAGCGACTGCAGCTGAAGCTCTTTTCACACTCCATGCAATCATAAGGTTTCTCCCCTGTGTGAGTTCTTTTATGTCGACTAAAGGTACTAGAGTCACTGAAGAGCTTTCCACACTCCATGCATTTATAAGGTTTCTCCCCTGTGTGAGTTCTTTTATGTTTAGTAAAGGTACTATAGTCACTGAAGCTCTTTCCACACTCCATGCATTTATGAGGTTTTTCACCTGTATGAATTCGTCGATGCACATTAAGGGAGGCACTCTGATTGAAGCTCTTTCCACACTCCATGCATGTATATGGTTTTTCCCCTGTGTGAGTTCTTTGATGTTTAGTAAGGGTACTACTGTCAAAGAAACTCTTTCCACATTCCCAGCATTTATAAGGTTTCTCCCCTGTATGAGTTCTTTGATGCAAAGTAAGGTGGCCACTGGATCTGAAGCTCTTTCCACACTCCATGCATTCATAAGGTTTCTCCCCTGTATGAGTTATCTTGATGCACATTAAGCTGGCCACTGTTTCTGAATCTCTTTCCACACTCCATGCATTTATGAGGTTTTTCACCTGAGTGTACGCTTTGATGTCTAGCAAGGGATGCACAACTACAGACTCTCTTTCCGCACACAGTACATTCATGTTTTTTCTCCACCCTGTTAAGTGGATTTTCATCTTCTTGGGAAACACTGTGTTCATCCCTTGGCTTCACTGTTTCTCTCCCCTCTTGTTTGTTGGCTCCATCTTGAACCCCCAACTTCCTTTCCTTCTCTTGCTCCTCAGCTCTTTCTGGCCAGACGTCTGATGGCTCCTCCTCATCCAGGACCCCCCAAACATCTCCTGATGGAATAAATTTTTTAAAATAAAGGTTAATACAGCTGTTTCATTATCGAAACTCAAGGCCTGGCACTGTGTTAAAGGCGTTTTACATAAAAATTAATGGTGTGATACCTGGCTTTAATAAAATATCACCATTTAATGAAGGGTTATTTGTATCAGAAAAGTTCTGGTGAGCAGCCCCTAAGATTAACCAAGCCATAAATAACACAATTTAAACCAGCAGGCAATAACATCAACAGAGCCTGCCTGCCTCTGGGCCTGTGTGAGGCGGCTGCCTCAGGTGTCACCCCCAAAGGGGCGTCAGTGCTCAGCTTTGCTGCTAGTCTCCCCGGCCTCTGAACTTTGTCAGGATCTGAAAAGGCTCTTTGCCAGTGGGTTGTCACAGGCTAAAAATTGGCCGCTGTTTCTTTAATGCTTAAAAAGCTGGGTCAGCATGAGTCAGCGGCCTGCACCGGGTTGTATATATGGAGTGAGAAATGTTAATTTGTGGTTAGGTTTGGTTGGTTGGTTAGTGAAAGCTGGTAGTGTTGAGGTGTGTACAGTTGGTCAACCGCTTTTGCAGAAAGACTTTTAAGAATAAAAGCAGAAAGTACTCTGCAAGGATACTTTTCTCGTGGACTGTTTTATGCCAACAAGAGTCCGAGGAACAGGCTGAGGCGACAAAGGGAAGTCAGAACTTTTTTTATATATACAAACACTGACATGGATGGGGGGGAGGCGTCTGCACCCCTTGGAGGTCTGGTGGGGGTGGGGGAACCACCCCACCCAACTTGCAGGGGTACGTTCCTTATGGATTTTGAGCCCCCATTGTGGGGGCAGAAGTGAGGCCACCCCTGAGCATTGATAATGCAGCACTGCAACTCAGAGCAGCTTGAAAAGCCTAGATCTGCAGAGCTTGTTGAAAAACCAAAATGAATAATAACAATAATAGCATTTATTTTATTTATATTCCAACCGTCTGGCTGGGTTTCCCAAGCCTCTCTGGGTGGCTTGCAGCATATATAAAAATGCAATCAAACCTCAAATATTAAGAAACAGAATATTGTATATATGCAACAAACAAACCAATACTTCAATAGAAACCAATAACATGATACTCAAGTATTCTACAAATTAGGATCCCCCACACAGAAGATTTTTAGTATGCTTTTTCTACCATTTTCCATGCTAGATTGCCACAATGCATTATACTTCAGGCTGCTTTAGAAGACCGTTCAGAAACTACAGAGTGCTGACCGGTGCAAGAGGCTCTGAGCATATCTGGGTTCCTGTCTTCAAGTCAAGGTGCTGATTTTGACTTATGTAGCTCAAGGACTGCTTCTCATGAATCCACCTAGAGCCTGCACTCATCATCAGAGGTCCTTCTCACAGTGCCCTCTCCAACTGAGATGCAAAGAGAGGCAATACGGAATGCGTCTTTCAGTGCTGGCTCCCCACCTAAAGAATGCTCTTCCACAGGGAGGCAACCCAGAAGCCATCACTGGCTAATTGTAGCAGAGAAGCAAGAATATTTATTCTCAGCCAGGCTTCTGGCTTTTAACTTGGGAGAAAAACAAACACGGTGACCTCCTTTAGCGGAGCTGAAGGGAGGCACTCCGAGCCCCTGAGGAACCCATACCTATTATAACTATTAACGAAGGCGAAAAGGATCCTTACCCTGAGAGGCCACCATCTCATGAACCTCCACCATGACGTCCTTGTACAGAGCTCTCCGTAGGACCCAGTTCTCGTCAGCGAAATGCAAGGACACTTGTCAAAGCTCACTGATCCCTGGAAGGACAGAACAATTCCCTTCCTTATAGACACTCCAAGGCAAGGTGTGGAAACCATCTCCCCTCAGCTCCCCCTCCGATGATAGATGGGGCAACTGGAGATTTTACCTTGTGTTTATTTGTTTTTTTAATAAGATGTGAAAATCTGGATAACAAAATTTAAGACTGGGGGAAATGAGTGTTTGTCCCTCCCTGCGAGGTTACAGGGAACCAGGCAGAGGACCTTCTTGGTAGTGCCCCACCCCCTGTGGAAAGCCCTCCCATCAGATGTCAAGGAAATAAACAACTATCTGACTTTAAGAAGACATCTGAGGGCAGCCCCGTTCAGGAAAGCTTTTAATGTTTCATCTTTTATAGTGCTTTTAATTTTCTGTTGGGAGCCACCCAGAGTGGCTGGGGAAACGCAGCTAAATGGCGGGGTATGAATGGATAAAATAATAATTATTCCTCCTGCTCCTCCCTGGCTGGCAGGAGACTCTCCTGACTCCCTGTTTACTCCCTGCCATTCCTCCCCATTCCCTGCCCTGCGGCCTTGGCTGGGCGCTCCTTCTGCGTTCTCTGGACAGAGGAGCGGGAGAAAAGGCCGCAGGATGAGGCCAGAGGCCGGTCAAGGCCAGCGAGGAGCGTCGCTTCGGCCTCCCGCTTCCCCTTCCCAGGAGAAGACAACCTTTCCCCGTCGCCCCTGAGTTCCCCCCAGGAGGGACGCGGCTCCCTCCCTCTCGCCCCCCAATTCCGCCCCTGGCTCGGCCCACTCCCCCCAGTTACCCGCCTCCAGGGAGGACAGCATCAACCCGGGGAAGCGGAACAGGAAGCGGAAGCGCCTCCTCTCTCCCCCAGTCTTCCCTTCCGCTCTAGGAATCGAAGCTCTGTCGCCGCAGTTAACCCTTGCGGAGCCGCGGGGTAGGAGCCTCTTGGCTGCTCCGGGCAGAGAGGGAGCCCGGCTGGTCTCCGGCTCTGAAGCAGGAGGGGGAAACCCGGCTGCAGGATCAGGCCAGCGGCGCCCCCAGGACAGAATCCCTCCTCCGCAGGTGCTCCAAGCAAGATCCGAGTTCAAGAGCAGCTTTATCCTCACCTTTAGTATTCTACTTATTTATATCCCGCCTTTCTCCCAGACCGAGAGCCAAGGCGGCTTACAAAGGGGTTGCCATGGTTATAAATTCTAAAAGGCAGGCGGCATTAAGAGGCAAGGAATTGCAATTGTTTCAAAGATCCTGGTTGAAATCAGAATTAGGGGAAAAAAATTAAAGATGCACATATTTTGTGAAATCAGCTGAGAAGAGAGGTCCAGAGGCTGTAAAAAGATGAGTGCTTTAAATATTTTCAAATGACAGAATACCTGACAGAATCTTGAGTTTGGATTGGCTATTTTGGATCCAACTGAGTCCTTTCCAAGTGTGCCTCTAAAATGGTGCATGCACACAGGGAAACAAACCCCACGAGGGACCTTGGTTTCCCGGCTTAGAATAGCACACACGATGTGGAAATTCATGAAGGAGGTCCTGACCGGAGATCAAAATAAAACTAGGTAACGGAATACCAAAATATAGTTGGGACTGGCCACTGAGACCACATAACACCTGTCCTGAAAGACGTACATTGGCTCCCACTATGTTTCCAAGCACAATTCCAAGTGTTGGTGCTGACCTTTAAAGCCCAAATTGGCCTCAGCCCAGTATACCTGAAGGAGCGTCTCCACCCCCCATCGTTCAGCCTGGACACTGAGGTCCAGCTCCGAGGGCCTCCTGCCGGTTCCCTCACTGCAAAAAGAGGATACAGGGAACCAGGCAGAGGGCCTTCTTGGTAGTAGCACCCGCCCTGTGGAACGGCCTCCCATAAGATGTCAAGGAAATAAACAACTATCTGAATTTTAGAAGACAGCTGAAGGAGCCAAGTTTAAGGAAGTTTTTAACGTTTGATGTTTTATCGTGCTTTTAATATTCTGTTGGGAGCCACCAGAGTGGCTGGGGAGGCCCAGCCAGATGGGCGGTGTATAAAATTATTATTATTGCTACACAAATGTCATAGCTCCTCTGGTGTTTGGGGGTATACAGCCAAATGCAGCATTTTGCGGCAGTAAACAATCAGCTTCTAACATGTTAAGGCATGAGAAAATACTATTTTGTTTGCTACTGACTTTTGCCTATACACTGCATCTATCTGAACGTAACTGTATCTGAAAAAGCTACAAGCTGTACATGTTTATTGTTGAGCTGGAACCATTATGGCCATATGGCAATATATACATAAATACAGTGGTACTCGGGTTACAGATGCTACAGGTTACAGGACTCCGCTAACCCAGAGAATAGTTACCTTGGGTTAAGGAACTTTTGCTTCAGGATGAGAACAGAAATTGCGGCGCGGCGCAGCGGGAGGCCCCATTAGCTAAAGTGGTGCTTCAGGTTAAGAACAGTTTCAGATTAAGAAACAGACCCCAGAACGAATTAAGTTTTTAACCCGAGGTACACTGTACACTTTAAATACAGTATCAGCCTATATTACACACACACACACACACACACACACACACATGCACACATACAAATAAGTTTTTAGATTTCATTCCCAATTAAATATTTACAGTCCACCATGTTTTCCTCAATGAACTTTCTCAGTCTGGGGGCAGCAACTGCAGATCTCACAACTTTGTCACAGATTTCTCAAGAAAGAAGGGAGCCGCGTCACCGAGACCTGGGGAGACACTAAGGAGACGGGGACAAGAATCGTCCTACCCTCACTAGGAGAGAACGAGAAGAAGCGACGTGCCTCCTCGCTACTTGAAAAGGCCCTCTGCCATCATTCCTGCGGCCTATATTATCTCCGCTACCTCTCACAAGAGAAAAGACAAGACAGGAACGCACAGCCACAGCATAAGGCCAGCAAGGACAGGGAATGAGGGGGAACATGGCAGGGACGTAACAGAGGGTAAGGGGACAAACAAAAGAGGAGTCAGGAGGAGAGAAGTCCACTCCAGCCAGCCAGGGACGAGCACGGATGAAATAACTTATTATTATTTAATCATATCAGTAACACCGCCATATTAGCTGGGTTCCACCAGCCACTCTGGTGTGGCTCCCAACAGAAATTAAAAGGCACACATAAAACAGCAAATGAAAACATTAAAAAGCTTTCTCAAGCACAGAGTAGCTGTCTCAAATGTCATCTATAAAAGATGGAAGTGTAATTTCCTTTAGAATCCTTACGTGGGAGGGCAATTCCACAGGACAGGTAAGCACACTACCGCGAAGGACCTCTACCGTGGTTCCCTCGTAAGTTGGCCTCTTGAGCAAGGAGATCTCAGTGTCCGGAAACTGAACGATGGAGACGATGGAGCATAAGCCCTCTACACAGGAGTACCGTATTTTCGTCCCATAGGAACAGCTCACGACACCACTAACGAACACAACGTAAGTTTTAATAGATATGAGGAGGAGGGAGAAATAAGACAAAAAATATCTTCTTTTATATTCACACCCCACCCCCCAAACAGGATCGGGAAAACTGAACCACGAGTCGAAAAGGAAACACGCGGGATGGCGGGGCTGAGGCGCCAGCTCCCTAAGCACTGTCATCTCACAAACATTGCAGGGAGCTGGCCGAACTATGATCTGCTTCGAAACAACGCGGAGGGAGACACTTGGCTACATCAAAAGTGGCGCCCCGCCCACCGGGCGGCAGGCTGCTATCCGCAGCGTGGGAGCCCTGCGGGGAACTCGGCAGGGCCCCCACGCTCGAACGCCAGGGGTGGCGGCAGCGCTCTTCAAAAAATTATCCCTCTCACACTTCCCATTTTGCCTCTTGGGCAGCATGTATGGTCTTACACACCAGAGGAAGAGGGAGTATGGGGATGGACAAAACACTCATTTCCCCAGTCTTAAATTTGTTATCCAGATTTTCACATCTTATTAAAAAAAACAATAAACATGACAAGGTAAAATCTCCAGTTGCCACCATCATCATCGGAGGGGGAGCTGAGAGAGAATGTTTCCACACCTTGCCTTGGAGTGCTATAAGGAAGGGAATTGTTCTGTCCTTCCAGGATCAGTGAGCTTTGAACAGTGTCCTTGCATTTCGCTACGACAACTGGGTCCTACGGAGAAGCTCTGTACAAGACGATGGTGGAGGTTCTAGATTGGCCTCTCAGGTAAGGATCCTTTTCGCCTCTTAATTAAAATAGGTATGGGTTCCTCAGGGGCTCGGAGTGCCTCCCTCAGCTCCGCTAAAGGAGGTCACAGTGTTGTTTTCTCCCAAGTAAAAGCCAGAAGCCTGGCTGAGAGTAAAATATCTGCTTCTCTGCTACAATTAGCCATGATGGCTTCTGGGTTGCCTCCTGTGGAAGGGCAATTCTTAGGTGGGGAGCCCAGCACTGAAAGACGCATTCCGTATTGCCTCTCTTTGCCCCTCAGCTGGAGAGGGCACTGTGGAAGGACCTCTGATGATGAGTGCAGGCCTCTGAGGTGGATTCATGAGGAAGCCAGCCATTGGAGCTACATAAGTCAAAATCAGCACCTTGACTTGAAGACAGAAACCCAGATATGCTCAGAGCCTCTTGCACCGGTCAGCACTCTGTAGTTTCTGAACGGTCTTCTAAAGCAGCCTGAAGTATAATGCATTGTGGCAATCTAGTGTGGAGAATGGTAGAAAAAGCATACTAAAAAACTTCTGTGTGGGGGATCCTAATTTGTAGAATACTGAGTATCTTGTTATTGGTTTCTGTTGATGTTTTTGGTTTGGTTTGTTGCATTTATAGAATATTCTGTTTCTTAGTATTTGATGGTTTGGTTGCATTTTTATATATGCTGTAAGCAACCCAGAGTGGCTTGGGAAACCCAGCCAGACGGTTGGAATATAAATAAAATAAATGCTATTATTGTTATTATTCATTTTGGTTTTTCAACAAGCTCTGCAGATCTAGGCTTTTCAAGCTGCTCTGAGTTGCAGTGCTGCATTATCAATGCTCAGGGGTGGCCTCACTTCTGCCCCCACAATGGGGGCTCAAAATCCATAAGGAACGTACCCCTGCAAGTTGGGTGGGGTGGGTTCCCCCACCCCACCAGACCTCCAAGGGGTGCAGACGCCTCCCCCCCATCCATGTCAGTGTTTGTATATATAAAAAAAGTTCTGACTTCCCTTTGTCGCCTCAGCCTGTTCCTCGGACTCTTGTTGGCATAAAACAGTCCACGAGAAAAGTATCCTTGCAGAGTACTTTCTGCTTTTATTCTTACAAGTCTTTCTGCAAAAGGGGTTGACCAACTGTACACACCTCAACACTACCAGCTTTCACTAACCAACCAACCAAACCTAACCACAAATTAACATTTCTCACTCCATATATACAACCCGGTGCAGGCCGCTGACTCATGCTGACCCAGCTTTTTAAGCATTAAAGAAACAGCGGCCAATTTTTAGCTGTGACAACCCACTGGCAAAGAGCCTTTTCAGATCCTGACAAAGTTCAGAGGCCGGGGAGACTAGCAGCAAAGCTGAGCACTGACGCCCCTTTGGGGGTGACACCTGAGGCAGCCGCCTCACACAGGCCCAGAGGCAGGCAGGCTCTGTTGATGTTATTGCCTGCTGGTTTAAATTGTGTTATTTATGGCTTGGTTAATCTTAGGGGCTGCTCACCAGAACTTTTCTGATACAAATAACCCTTCATTAAATGGTGATATTTTATTAAAGCCAGGTATCACACCATTAATTTTTATGTAAAACGCCTTTAACACAGTGCCAGGCCTTGAGTTTCGATAATGAAACAGCTGTATTAACCTTTATTTTAAAAAATGTATTCCATCAGGAGATGTTTGGGGGGTCCTGGATGAGGAGGAGCCATCAGACGTCTGGCCAGAAAGAGCTGAGGAGCAAGAGAAGGAAAGGAAGTTGGGGGTTCAAGATGGAGCCAACAAACAAGAGGGGAGAGAAACAGTGAAGCCAAGGGATGAACACAGTGTTTCCCAAGAAGATGAAAATCAGATTAACAGGGTGGAGAAAAAACATGAATGTACTGTGTGCGGAAAGAGATTCTGTAGTCGCTCAGCCCTTGCTAGACATCAAAGCGTACACTCAGGTGAAAAACCTTATAAATGCCTGGAGTGTGGAAAGAGATTCAGAAACAGTGGCCACCTTAATGTGCATCAGATAACTCATACAGGGGAGAAGCCTTATGAATGCATGGAGTGTGGAAAGAGCTTCAGATCCAGTGGCTACCTTACTTTGCATCAAAGAACTCATACAGGGGAGAAACCTTATAAATGCTGGGAATGTGGAAAGAGTTTCTTTGACAGTAGTACCCTTACTAAACATCAAAGAACTCACACAGGGGAAAAACCATATACATGCATGGAGTGTGGAAAGAGCTTCAATCAGAGTGCCTCCCTTAATGTGCATCGACGAATTCATACAGGTGAAAAACCTTATAAATGCATGGAGTGT